GACATATGAAGAACGGTTACAGGAACTAATAAATGTCTAATTTAATGAAAAGAAGGACTAGGCGAGACAAGATAGCAGTGTTCCGATATCTCAGGGGTTGCCCCAAAGAAGAAGGAGTCAAACTATTCACCAAAGCACCTGAGGGCAGAACAAGAAGCAATGGGTGGAAACTAATCAAGGAGAGAAGCAACTTAGAACTGAGGAGAAATTTCCTGATAGTTAGAACAATTAATTAGTGGAACAACTTGCCTCCAGAAGTTGTGAATGCCCCAGTTGTGTGGCCCGTTAAATGTCTTTAAGAAGATGTTGGATAGCCATTTGTCTGAAATGGTATAGGATTTCCTGCTTAGGCAGGGGGTTGGACTAGAAGACCTCCAAGATCCCTTCCAACTGTGCCATTGTATTGTATTGTATTAACTTCCCTAATCATAAAAATCTTGACATTCAAGCTTGCAATAGACTGTTGCCAATTTCAAGTCGAACGGATACTGAATTCAAGTAAATTTTCTTACTGTGGATTTGATAGTCAAGTTAGAAAAATCCATATTAACCACTATAAAGTTGATAAACTCACCCCAAATCATCCTGAAAGATGCTGCTTGACGTTAGACCAGAAAATGTTAGACTAGATGTTGGTGGATCCTGCTGTTGGCTAGTTATGACACTGACATCTCCACCAGCTACAACCTGCAAGTTAGTGTTAAACATAAACAAATGAGTATACAGATCATTATACAGAAGATGGATACAGCGCCACAAAACAAAATTTGCACTGAATTTTTATATTCTATGTTTTAAACGCATAGAGCTATATTCAATATATATCATCAAACTTCATGAAGAACTCCAAACTGCTCTATGTTAAGAGGCATAACTATACCTACAAAAGCAACTGAATGTTTGTTTGGTTTTCTTCTGCTCCTATGTGTGTTTGGCTTGTCTTCATTTCTCAAATAATATACATACTGAACACACTCACTCATTTCCACTTCCTATTCATCCTGTCCTCAAGTTTAAACTAAGCCATGTGCTTTATTGTTATGTATTGCAAGCTTGTTTGATTTTGACATCTGTTCAGTTTCTCTTCCCTTTTTCTTTTTCTCTCTTATCTCACTTTTTGGTTGAAGCATAGGTCTAGGTACTAATTGCTTTGTGCATATTACAATGATCATTCAACTAGTGCTCTGCTCAGCCTGTTTAGTTACAGAATCATTTCTTTTGAACTTGAAGAGAAATTCAGAGAAAGCTGCATATTTGATCTGAATGGAGAAAACTGGGTTCCATAACAAGCTCATTTCTCAATTATAAAGATAGCTGTTGATCTATGACCATAAAAAAACCTACTCATTATGATTACAAATGACGATGGTTATTAAGTGAGATGGGCCCTGCTTAATGACCCCTCCTGCCTTCCCTTCCCTGATGAGGCCATTAAAAGAATGTGTGGCCCGTTAAATGGGTGCCCCAAGTGTGGGGGAGCACAGGTTCAGGTCTGCCTGTACTGGGATTCCCAAGGCCTTTCCAATCCTCTCAGGCACCCCTGATCCACTCCCTGCCCCTCAGGATTTCTGCAGGCCTAAGCCTGTTCCCAACCCCAGCCACTCAGCCTAAGAAGCCTAAAGCCAAGTAGCGGTACATGGGGAGTTCTTAGAACTTGTAGGCCAGGATGGGAAGAAGGCCTGGCCCACAAGCTTGGGTGGCTGAATGACTGGGTTGGGGGCAGGCCAAAGGCCTGCAAGGAGCTGATGGGAAGTGTGTGTGCATGTGTTTATGTGCGCGCGCGTGTGCAAGCACCACTGTAGCATATCTGTGTCAGTCATAAGGGTGAACAATCGTGGAGGACACTGCAGTTGCCATAAATTTGAAACCAGGTCATAAGTAGCTTTTTGTGAATCTTTCATAAGTGAAAGACTACATGTATATCCCTAGACCTCCATAAATACACATGGCATATAGACAAACACTATTATTATGTCTAGTTGCAAATAGAACCAACTCCCTAAAGAAACACATTCCTGCTTATAATCATTTTTAAACACCTAAATATAGCAACGATATCCAGAATGTTAAGATTTATGATATAAATGCCCAAGACAGGCTGCTGGTATGATAACATTAGCCATATGCCTGGTTTCCAAATAAAGATGTTTAGGACATTTTTAATTGCAGCTGATCACACAGAGGAATGAGCTAACAGTCGTTTGCACAGCAGTGGGTTGGACAGACGCTTGCCTATTTAAAGCAAATTTACCTGTGTGATGATGTGATCAGCTGCAAAATACCTTGTGCTTCAACTTATGTTCCAAATGTACCTTAAAAGACATACTGATTACAGATTATTGTGCAGCTTTTAAAAGGTACTACAAATATACGTAGATGTAGAGAGTAAAAATGACCTTGATGAAAATACATGTGAACTATTGCCTGGATACAAGACGCACTTTTGAGTCCATAACAATGGGATATGGTTATCATCTCAAGAAGCTTTTCATAGAAGAGAAATGATAAACCACACAAACCTAGTTGATTTATGCAGATGTAGTTACTTTTTCTGAGGGAAACTTAACTAAAAACAAAACAAATATTGGAAAAGGATGGTTTTGCATGTCAATGATTTGCTTGTGCTGAGATATTAAAAATAATGAAGTTGAGTAAGAATAATTTTGGTTTCACAAAAATGAGAGAATTGAATTCGAACTGAATTTGTGTTCTAAGGAGGAGCATGTTTTGCCAAGATGTGTAAAAAGAAGATACAAGAAGACTTTGTCATTAAAGTTTTCTTCTTTGGGATATAAAACAATGCTACATCAGTGGGAAAACATTACAATTTACTTTGAACTCTAATTTGAAAAGTAATTTCTATAATATAATGTAGCATTGATATTTAACATCCAATAAATGATCAAAGATGTATCATCATGTCAAACATTATTGGAAATGATGTAAGTTTGAAGGCACTTTATATCACCTTAAATGTACTTTAATTGAGAGAATTCTTAAAACAAATATACAACTAAAACCAGATGTTTATTTCTTTTAGATCTCATGAATAAAGAGCTGGGAATTGTTCTATATATAACTGTAGCCAGACTTCTCTTTGCACAGAGATGGAAAGAATGGATGCTGAAGTTAATGGAATTGTTTGAAATGTCAAAATTGACTACCTTAAAGAAAAGACTTTGTCCAACTTTTTTTTCCAATACAGACTATATAAAATATAAAAATGATATATTAAGTTTTTGATTTGATGATTAAGAGTGTTTATGATTATAGAAATATTAGATATTATTGAATTTTTGATATACAAATCTTTGTCTCTTCTCCTATACTTTTCCTTAATGGTTTTGTTTTGATATTTTATGTTTTTCAAACATTTAATAAAGTATTTTTAAAGAAAGTAGTCCAGATAGATGTCTCCCTGATTCCCTGTAGTATAAGGGGCGGAGAAGTAGCCTATTTGTAAGATTCTGTTATTACAAACCAATTTCAATAAAAAATAGTTTCAGGCCCCCTGTACAGTTGATTTCCAGATCTGACCTATCTTATGGGTCTGGCATATAGTTCCAGATAGCCATCACAATATATAAATCATAATATGAATACTGTGTTTCCCCGAAAATATTTTCTTTTGACCCCTGAAATAATCACTTGGCCTTATTTTCAGGGAGGTCTTATTGTTTTTGAAGTACAGGAGGCAGTGAGTGTGGTCACCTCATAGCTGCTGCTGCTGCTGCATTGCAATATTTTGGAGAGGGCTTATTTTGGGGGGAGGGTTTATTTATAGTGCATGAGCTCAAAAGTCCAATTGGGCTTATTATCCAGGGAGGTCTTATTTTCAGGGAAACAGGGTAATTGGAAGATGAATTCTATCCCCTGTACATGTTAAGTTGGGTTCCACCACAAAATTGCGGAGGACAAAATCGCGCTCAACGAAAGCGCGCATTTGACGTCATCACAGCGCGACAAAAACATCGCGCTGTGATCGAAAAATGTAAAAATAAAGCNTGTTTGTTTGTGTGTATGTTTATGTGCACGTGTGCATTGGTTTTCTAAGCTTCCAAAGACTTGCAAACATTGGACAAAGGTATCGTCAAAAATAATAATAGAAGGCTGGATCTCGCTTTGGCATCTTAAAACCTGTGTGTGTCTCTGTATGTGCATGCATGTATTGTGTGTGTGTGTGTGTCTGTGTGTGTGTGTGTGTGTGTGAAATGGAGGAGGTTAAGCCAACCATAGGGCATTAACACCTCTTTTATTGCTTATTTGCTTTAAGACACAAAAATCATGTTTACTGTAATTCACTTAGCATTGTGATTCTATGGGCGATAGAAGTCAATCACAAGAAATTCACTGGGTGGTCTGTGACCCCAAAAACTCTGGCTTATATTTGTACAGTAAAACTCAAGAGACTTTGGGACAAGACAGAAAACAAGCTCCTAATAAGTCAGCTCAAAGAATTACCCAACTCTAGAGAACTGTAGGAAAATACAGGTAGTCCTCAACTTACAACAATTCACTTAGTGACCGTTCAAAGTTACAACGGCACTGAAAAAAGTGACTTAGGACCGTTTTCTCCCATTACATTTCCAGCATTCCCATGATCATGTGATCAAAATTCAGATGCCTGGGAACTGCTTCATACTTATGACCATTGCTGTGTTCCAAGGTGATGTGATAATCTTTTGGAACCTTTTGACAAGCAAAGCTAATGGAGAAACCAGGTTCACTTAACAACCAAGTTACTAACTTATCAACTGCAGTGATTCACTCAGCAACTGAGGCAAGAAAAGTCATAAAATATGGCAAAACTCACTTAACAAATGTCTCACTTAGCAACAGAAATTTTGGGCTCAATTGTAGTAGTAAGTAGAGGACTACCTGTATGGAAAACAGTGTTTGTCATCTGCAGTTATACAGCCTTCAAAGTCTGGGAAGAAGGATGTCAGATATGTATCTTTGTTTGCTGTTATGAGAATAGCTTGAAACCATTTTTTACTAAGCTGTTATGAAAAGCTACCAAATATTCTAAGTTAAATATCATAATATTTTTAATTAGGTGGTTTAAAATCAGTGGGTCAAGCTCTCACTTTCTTTTTGTTGCAACAAAAGCACTGGAAATATTAAAATGTGTTTTTAGAAGCCAGGATTTGGGATCAATCTTTCCATCAATAATTCTTAGGGTCATTTATGAAAATGAGATGTTGATGAAAGGCAATTTGTAGTCTTGACTGTAAAAGGTTTGCTTATCATTGCTGATGACCCCATAAAGAAAGAAGAGAAACAATATTCTATTCCGTGGGACTCTGCAACAGGTAGGCATTACCACCACATATGTCCTGTCTCCTAACGAAATGTCCCTATTTAGGAAAAAAACATGAAGATCAATTCAGTTTAATAGTTCTATGAAGGATCAGGAAACTAACTTTCTTTCTTTCCTTCCTTCCTTTTCTTTCTTTCTTTTTTTTAAAAAGTTTTCTTCTTAAGCACTATTATTCCAGAAAACAGTTTGTCCCAGATCTCATGTTGGGCACAGGGATATTAATAAAATTGAATCAAATGAATATATACGCTTGAGAGCTTTAAATTAACCCTGGCTAACCAATAGCCAAAATTTTGTGTCTTCCAGAGATTACAGAGTTCCAGAATTCCCCATTACAAATCCCTCAACAATCACACAACATGCACCACCAGTTTATCACACCACACATTTGATTATTATGGCTTTCAAATTTTGTCACTTTCTTATCCTACAGAAGCCAATCTCTGTAATTCAACGGTATAAAAATAAGACCATTCGTTATTTTTCCCCTTGATTAAAAACAGCCTGGCAAGCCAATAAACAAACACCCATCTCATCTTTGGAGACAGGACTTATGAGAGAACAGTCAAAGTCACAGTTCCTTTTGTTCTTTTTAGAAGAGCGACAGCTTCCTCGTGGGTGACCCCTTCCAAGCTCTGCCCATTGACTGCAATGATTTGATCTCCTCTTTTAAGGCGCCCGTCTTCTGCTGCTGCACCCTGCAATGTTTAAAGAAACAGATTTTATTTTACAGAGTTACATGGAGGGTGTCCAACTGAAGCCATTGGCTACACCATAATGTCTATTCTTTGGTTTTGGCTTTACCATTGGACTGGCCCCAACCAATATAATTCATATACCATGGGGATTTTTGTTACAATGGGGTTCTTTTGTAACATGCTTTTTCATTAAGACAAAAATCAGGAATTAAGGTTTAAAGTAGCCAGTATTCCATTCTTATAACTTGTTCACCTCAAATATTTCTTTATTAGAGTCCTCTTGCATTAAACAAAGTGTTGTAGCAGAGAGAACTGTAGGACATTTCCTATGGTTACTTTAATGTAAATCTTTTTATTTGTGGACAAATTCTGAATAATAAAAAATCTACGTTGTGTTTGTGTGTGATTCCAAGATGCAGAAAAATGAAAGGAGGCCCTGCAACATACAAATATTAGATGCATGAGATTTACAGAGATAACAGTGCCCTGTACTAAGCTACAGAGAGTGAAATAGAAGGCATTATCAAAATTTCTGTCTTTTTTCTTTTTGTTCCCATCAGTCATTCAGGTCAGCACATCACATATGTAGTGCAAGATATGTGGGACAAAGTTAACAAGACACTAAAGCAAGGTAAGAGCTAGAGGTGAGACATCTCATACTTTATAGATCAGCAGTTTTGAAACAATGTGGCACACACTGGTACCCAGCAAAGAGTCTACAGGTGTACCTCTCAGCCAGAACCCCATCTCCCATGACATCACAACAGGTGAGCCATCTTTATTTCTCCTTCCCAGCCCCAGCACCTGGGATGTTGCTACCTGAAAGTCCTGTCTGTGAAATGCATGCTATGAGATGAAAAGGGGGGAAAACCTCTATTCTAGGGTTCACCGACAAAAGGGCAACCGACAAAAGCGCACCTGACTAAACTGCGGTGACAAAACCGCGAGTTCTAAAGTGCTCCGATGAATGAGCGCTGAATCGCGCCAACAACAGCGCGGCGACAGAAGCGTGCTGTAAAACTAAACCTAACCCTAAACGTAACGCTAACCCTAACCCTAAACATAACGCTAACCCTAACCCTAACCGTAACCCTAAACCTAACCCTAAACGTAACCCTAAACCTAACCCTTACCTTAACTTAAATCCCCCTTCTGTCGACGTGCAGTTGTAAATTGCCCTTCTGTCGCCGCGCTGTTGTTGCCGCGCTGTTGTTGGTGCATTGATGACGTCACAGTTTTAGCGACGCGGTTTTGTCGGCACGCTTTTGTTGTGTGCGGTTTTGTCAGGTCATGCTATTCTAGATGGTTTGGGTTGTATAGTACTTTGCCTTTGGTCACACCAATCCCACTTGAAGGCAATGGTTTGCTTTCTGCTCATCTACCAATCGTTTTAGATTATCTACATATATGTATGCTAAGGCTCAACACAGACTTGATGGCAGCACATAATCAATAATCAAGGGAAGACAGAAAGGACCATGTCGAAGTATATATATGTCTGGATTTAAAACACAATAACTAGTTAGCAAATGAATTTGGTATCAAGTTCTTACCTTTGCAAACACAGTCTTAACATAAATGGGCAGATCTCCATGAGGACTTCCATATCCACCTACAATGCTAAAGCCCAAGCCATCAGGTCCTCGATCCAGTGTGATGGTTTTGTATTGGGGGGGCCTATAACACACATACACAAAAGTTGTCTCATAGTTCTGCTCACTTTAGCAATTGATCATTAAACATTCTCGATTGTCTAACATACATATGTACAAAACAAACTAAACATTGTATTATATATTTCTAGAACTATATATGTGCGCCAGTCAATAACCTTTATTGAAGACGTCTTCATCTTGCAATGAACTGATTTGGGCTGACAATTCTCATCCTCCTCTTCCTCCTCCACTATTATTTATTACCAGTATTCTGTATTAAACCCTTTCAATGGCATATTTTTGTTATGTTCACCAAAACAAAGGAGCATCAAACAATTTGGTGGGATGAAACCCACAAATGGAACATAGAGCTAGAAGGATTTAAATTATTTAAAAGAAATAGACCAAATAAAAGAGAAGGTAGAGTTGCACTATATATAAGAAATTACTACATCTCTACAGAAATAGAAAACAACAATGATGAGAACTATCTTGAATGCATTTGGGTCA